GGAGGTTAATGAAGACAAATAGCTCTCCATGCTAATCCCGCATTCCTCACTAAAAGTCGTGCCTTTTTTTTTTTTTTTTCCTTTTTTTTTTACCTTTCTTTAACTGCATGTCTGCCTCTAATTTGTGTTGCCGTCTTTTTTTCTTGTTCCCCCTAATTGTCTTGCATTATTGACCTTTTGCTCTCGACATGCGTGCCTGCATGTTGAGTGTGGCTGCAGGGAAGAGGAGAAACTTCCGATAAAGATAATAGGGCACGCTCAACCAGCCATGCAGAACGGTTCTGGGCACGGATGCCTGATGGCCAATCCACCGACGGATGGGATAACAAGTCTACGGTTCTCGAATCACACAGACAATCTGATCGTGTCCTCATGGGACGGAAACGTACGTCTGTACGATGTTTCTTCGAATGTTCTGAGAGGATGTTTCGCGCACATGGGGCCTGTGCTCGATTGCTGTTTCCACGACGACAACTCGGGGTTCAGTGGGAGCAGTGACAGGACGGTCCGGCGACACGACTTTGCAAATGGGCGAAGCGACGTAATTGGCAAGCACGACGGAGCCGTCCGCTGCGTCGAGTATTCTCATTACATTGGCCAAGTACTGTCCGGTAGTTGGGACAAGACACTCCGCTGTTGGGACCCCCGTGCTCCGACCCCCCAAGAGCGCTCTATAGGCATCTACGAGATGCCCGACAGAGTGTACTCCATGTCCGTGGTCGGATATCGGCTCGTAATTGCCACAGCGGGACGCCATGTCGTGATTTACGACACTCGAAACATGTCGCAACCGGAGCAGAGAAAGGAGTCGCCTTTGAAGTTCCAATCGAGATGCGTACGCTGCTACCCGAACGGTACGGGCTACGCACTCAGCTCCATCGAAGGAAGAGTGGCAATGGAGTTCTTTGACCCTTCGGAAGCCTGGCAAGCCAAGAAGTATGCATTCAAATGTCACAGGAAATCGGATGCTGGCCGCGATACCGTCTACCCGGTCAACGCCATCGCCTTTCATCCTGTCTATGGCACGTTTGCGACCGGCGGATGTGATGGCTATGTCAACGTATGGGATGGGACCAACAAGAAGCGACTATATCAGTATCAAAAGTACCCTACTAGCATAGCTGCCTTGTCATTCAGCCGAGACGGACGGCTCCTGGCAGTCGCCTCAAGCTACACGTTCGAAGAGGGAGAGAAGGTCCATCCGCCGGATCAGATCTTCATTCGGAATGTCAACGAACTCGAGGTCAAGCCAAAGCCAAGGCCATACACTGCTGCAACATGAATCATGCTTTGCCCTCGGTACCCTCGGCACCTTAAGCACCCTCGGTGCCCTTGGCACCCTCAGCAACCTCAGTGCCCTTGACACCCTCAGGAACCTCAGCACCCTCAGCACCCTCAGCGCCCTCAGCGCCCTCAGCGCCCTCGACACCCTCAGGAACATCAGCCCCCCTCCCCTCAGCGCCCTTGACACCCTCAGCAACCTCAGCACCCTCAGCGCCCTCAGCGCCCTCAGCGCCCTCCACACCCTCAGCAACCTCAGCACCCTCAGCACCCTCAGCACCCTCAGCGCCCTAGACACCCTCAGCCCCCCTCAGTGCTCTTGGCACCTTCAGCACCCTCGGTGCCGTCAGCGCCCTCGGCACCCTCAGCACCCTCAGCGCCCTCGGCACCCTCAGCGCCCTTGGCACCCTCGGCGCGCTTGTTCATTGTCGCTGCCACGGCACCCTCAGCACCCTCGGCGCGCTTGTCAATTGTTGCTGCTGCTGTTAGCAGAGGGGTGGAAGTTCTTGCTACTAACCTCAAGCTACCTACGTCCTTGAAGATGGAGGCGAGAAAACGACTGGTGCAGAGGGTGCCATGATGTTTCTCCAACAGAACGTCCTCTCAGAACATCCTCTTGGTTTTAGATTTTGGCGAAGCACATCATAGATCAGAGTGGGAGAAGAAGATACATCTGCCCGTGATGGCGGATCTTTTCTTTCATCCCACATGTGAACTATCAGGAGGAGGCCAAGAGACAGGTCACACCAGGCCAATCCACAGTCACTGGCCCTTCAGAAGGAGGGGGTTCTTTCCTCCCTCTCTCTGATGAACGGTCGTCACCAAATGATAATGTTGCAAATTTTTTTTTGTTTTTTTTTTTGTTTCCTTATTTGGAAGCCAGGGCCCAAGCGTGAATAATACAGCTGCAAGGTGGCCTGCTTCCCCATCATCAACTGCCATTGCCAAGCAGAGAGATGGGAAAGTTCCTTGTAGTTTCCTTGAGCTAAACATCCTTCACGAGGGAGAGATGATCCATCCTCCCACACGACACCTCTTCCATCTGCCGCGTCAGCTAGCTTTTTTCCAATCTGCCACGTCAGCCATCTTTTTTCCGATCTGCCACGTCAGCCATCTTTTTTCCGATCTGCCACATCAGCCATCTTTTTCCATCTGCCACAACAGCCAGCTCTTCCATTTGCCACGTCAGCCAACTCTTTTTTTGCCACATCAGCCAGCTCCTTTTTTTTATTTTGCCACATCAGCCAGCTCTTTTTTTTTTTGCCACATCAGCCAGCTCTTTTTTCTTTGCCACATCAGCCAGCTCTTTCATCTTCCACATCAGCTCTTCCATCTTCCACATCATCTCTTGCATTTGCCACGGTAGAGAGCTCTTCTGTTTGCCACGTCAGCCAGCTTTCCGTCGGCCCCGTCAGCTCTTCTGTAGGCCACATCAGCTCTTCCGTCCACCACATCAGCTCTTCGTCCAACAAACAACAGGTTGTCAAACGGAAGCCACCGATGTATATAGGCATCCGGCATGGCCAGGATCATCCACCTTTTTGCCCTTCTCCACCCTCTTTCCGTGGCCCACTGTTGTGACTGCATCAGGCACATACCGCCGGCATTTATTTTCTGTCAACTTGGCAGTCGTCAGGCGGAGGTGTGTTGGTTTAATAGCCCTGCAAGGCTGCAAGAGTGAAAAGAAGGGAGAAAAAAGGGGAAGAAAAAAAGAGCTGTGCTACGGCGGGGAGCTTTTACTTCGAAGTTTTAAATGTTAACCACTGTTATCATGTGTCCCCCCCCCCCGCCTCCCTCACACACACACCGGCAAAAAAGAAAGTTTTTTGGAGCGTTTTTTTTGCTCTCTTTCGTCTTTTTTTCCCTCCTCATTTTATCATTTTGCCCAATGCGCTTCCTGTTTTTTTTTTAAAGCATGATGGCCCAGGCTACCAGCCGGGCCGCCTGGGTCACTTGAACTTCCACACAGCCCAGTCCGCTTCTGGCGGAAGATTCATTCTGATTTTGCTCAGGAATGAACGGAACAAGTTTGGAGATGGAGAGAGAGAGAGAGAGAGAGAGAGAGAGAGAGAGAGAGAGAGAGAGAGAGAGAGAGAGAGGCGCGAAGCGGGAATGAATCTGCCCTCTTCTGGTGGAAGATTCATTCTCAATTTGCTCGTTGGAATGAGCGGCATGTGGGAATGAACGGACAAGTTTGGCGAGAGAGAGAGAGAGAGAGAGAGAGAGA